CCTATGAAGTAATGATAAATGCCATCATTCATAGTAAGAATTCTAATTCTTTTAAGGTTGAAAGAATTAAAGAAAGAGAGATTGCCATGTCAATTTTAAGACAGATCTTGAAGTATAAAGAACATAATTTTAATCTCATCCTTCCAGGACTGAAACCAAATTAAAATGCAGAATATTCACAACTTTCATTGCTGGAGACTATTTACAGCTTCAATTTCCACCTCCTTCCTAGACCTGCAAGGAAGCATGGCATAAAAAACCCTGGAAATGATTTTTCAATAGGCAATATATAAATGTGATGTTTGCTTTTTAAATTTAATGACTCATAATGTTTTGCAGGTATTTTAATTTTAAAATTATAATTTAAATATATTATGCACATGGCTAGAAAATTATATGTTTAGAATAAAAAGACTTAGAATAAAAAGCATGTCTCCTCCTGTAGTTCTGCTCTCCAGAGGCAACCACATTTAAGTTTAATTTTAGTGCTTCTGGTGGTTAAATCCATCTTTGTAATAATACGCTTGTTTTTCCACCATTTTTTATTTGGTTTATCAATTTTGGACACTTTACTGACTTTCCGCTCTGCAAAAAGGAGGATTTAGATCATTTAGCTAAAGCCACTTTCTTTCTCATCTCCTCATAATACACTTTTACAACTATTCACAATTCGACCCTTACCAACTTTGTAACTTCAAACCCCATATTTAAATCTTTATGATTTTTTCACTAATTATAGGAAAACTCTCTTAATACCATGTTTTTAAATATGAGGACAGTTTGAACCTCATCTTTCTTTCACCTCTTCTCCTAATTTTTAATTCTCTCACAGTGTGAACTTTATCTATTCTTCTATCTTATCACAGTTGGAAACATTTTGTCGTTTCTATAATCACACAGCAGATAAAATGTCTTTTAAGTATTCTGTAATTAGTTCATGGGCTGATTCTACAAATTAAAAGTTATTATGACAATGCTTATATTGTTCTTTGGGCGCTAAGTATGTATTCCTTTCCTCTGTAAGTCCAATGTCACAACATCTGTGCCATTCAAAGGAGAATATTACTAGAGTTAAGTTCAAATGAATTCTCCTTTTATGTATTTCAAAAACCAACTTCACTATACCCAGTTTTTTCTAGAGGGTCTCATACAGTATTTCTTTTTTTTTTTTTTTTTTGAGGAAGATTAGCCCTGAGCTAACATCTGCCAATCCTCCTCTTTTTGCTGAAGAAGACTGGCCCTGAGCTCACATCCATGCCTGTCTTCCTCTACTCTATATGTGGGATGCCTACCACAGCATCGCTTGCCCAGTGGTGCCATGTCCACACGCGGGATCCGAACTGGTGAACCCGGGGCCACCGAAGCAGAACGTGCCCACTTAACTGCTGTGCCACCAGGCCGGCCCCTTCATACAGTATTTCTATAGATCAACTTCTCTTATTTCTGACACCTTCCTCCTGGAGATGTCTGTCCATTCTGGACTAGCTGCTCTCAAGGCGTACTGCACAGTTGTCATTCTGGGACAAGAAGTCAGTTTTCCTGATCTCGTCTTCCCTTGTTTTGGTTTACTTGCTTATTTTGCTGCAATATATCCTCGAGTAAACTCTTAAGAAAGGGTGCATTGCAGGTAAACTTTGGAAAGTCTGCATGTCAGAAAATATCCTTATTCTATCTTCCTCTGATTTTTCTTCCTGAATATAAAGACACTGATCATTGTCTTCCAGCATCCAGTACTGATGATGAGAAACCCAGTGACAGTCTAATTCTTATCCGTTTGCATGTGACCACCTCACACTTTCTCTGCAAAGATCCAATTTTTCTCTTTATTCTTAATCTTCTGAAATTTCACAGTAAATATCTTTAGGAGTAAATCTGTTTTTGTTCATTATAATGTGTGCCCTTTTAATTTGAATATATAGGTTTTGTAACTGGGAAAATTTTGTGCATAATTTCTTTGATAATTTTCTCTACTCTTTTTCTTTCTCCTCTCGTTCTAGAGACTTGCTCTTCAGATGTTGGAGCTTCTGGATCGATCCTATATGGATCCATGTATTTTCTCTTATTTTCATTTTTACTTTTTTAATTTTCTGAATAACTCTTTTTATCTTCCAATTTATTAATTTTAAAAAAGTAATCATATTTTAAATTTCAAATAGCTCTTTTTGTTTTCCTTTCACAGTACACAGACTATAATATGCAAATCTCTCTAAAGACACTAAAATTTCCTCTGCTCTCTGAATTTTCTCTCTTTTTATGGTAGTCTGGTTTTTCTGCAGATTTACTTTGGTCATTCTTATTCTAAACTTTTTCAAAATCTCTGCTAATTCTTGGTTACCCAGTCATTTTTAAAGATTTAACAATCAATCTGCTTGGAAACTCTGTGTATTTAGGTAGGGCATGACACTTCATTCCATGGTGAGTATGCAAGGAGACTATCAAATGCAGAATGCAAGAGCCTTTGTTCTAGAGCTCCAATGCCTACATTAGTTGCCCTAAGTCTTTTCAGGTAATTAACAGAGTTTCATAGATTTTTTTTTTTACGTGACTTCTGGGATCCTGAATCTAGGAGTGAAGATGGGATCAATTGCTCTTATGGCATGTTTTCAGTGGTTTTCCTGTTTTCAGCAACCTACCTCTTTCCCAACATCCTTTATACCTGAGTCCCTTACTTCTCTTTCTGAGTCCCTTACTTCTCTTTCTCAAGGCAGAGCAGCCCCCACCTCAGCTCTTGCCTTCTCTGCACAGACACTGAGGCATCTTATATCCTCCTACATCTTTAATTACCACTCTCCATCACCTTCTGCCTTCTAGAAATTTGTTAGTTTCTTCTCCACTAATGACTCTTATACCTTTCTCTTTGCTTTGCTTTTTTTCCCTCATGTTTTACTCCTTGATTATCATGTCAGTGAGCTCTGGGAAATAAAGAAGATAAAAGCACATATTAGTCCATCATCTTACACCAATTACTTTTCACAGTTTACCTAATTTTGCCATTTATATTTTGTTCAAAAAAGAATTTATTATCCACACCTAAGAAAAAGTATCATTTTGTTTTGTGGTGTTTTTCAGGGGGAGAGATGTTTTTCTATTTATTTCAATATACTTAGACTTGAAATTTTCATGCACTTACCATCTGTGAATGTAGATATACTTACATAGGACATAATTAAGGATCATATTACTTTCACGTGCACATTCAGAGAATATACTCAACTAGATTCATTCAGAATACATTTGCTTTTTCTAGTTCAAGTTGATATTACTTTACTCATATATTGTTCATGTGTTTATACAAGTTGAGCTGATACATTCTAAATAGGTTTAACCCAAGGTCTTGCTATTCAATATGGAAAATGCCATAAAGTCTTCTGAATTATATGCCCAGTTTATCGGGTTTGAGGAAATTATAAGGTAACTCTTTTATTTAAAGTATATAAGGATGCCATCTCATCTAATTTCTTTCACAAAAGGAGAAAAAACATGTATACAATTCATGTTTCATGAAATGCTAGAAATTACTAAACACATAATTATCACTAAAGTAATAGTACAAAATAGAATATTAGCATTCATCATCTTCCTAACGGCACGGCTTAGTACTCTGCCAGTTACCAATTATTCTTATGAGGAACATCTATAGATAAAAATGAGCCAAAATAAGTTTCAAGTTAGAATTAGTTTTGCATTTGCTTTGTGGATGTCTTCTTTCTCTTACAAACACACAGGAACCAATAGAAACTAAATAGAAATGTATCAATCCTAGGGATAGTCAGAGGAGGAGCTAAGAAACATGGAACACATAAGACAAAGTTTTTTTTTAAATGTAAAAAAAGAACAGAAAGTAAAATAGAGGATAAATGGATAAGAAAAAAAATTCCTTTGTTTAGACAAAAGGTCAGTATTTATAGGCACTCATATTGTCTTTCACAATGTGTATTATAAATAGCTTTTAAATTTTGCTGTTTAAGAATTTCACAAAATGCTGGGTTTCCTTTTAGTTTAGGTTTTGGCATTTATGACGTCTAGGCTTTTCCTAAGATCTTATTCACAGCTAAAGTGATAAAAAATATTACAATTTTTCAAGGAAGTCATTAATTTTTCATCATGCTACTCCACATCTTTCACTGCATTTGACGACGGGGTCTAAGGGCTTACCTTTTGGGCTTTCTTTCCTTCGCATCTTCATGGCTACTGTATCAGGCTTACTACCTGCACAAAGCATTTTCCATTCAAAACTCTACCTCTTTCAAGTAGACTGTGTTGAAATTCATTTTTTTATAGCATGACTCCATTTATATGAAAATCTAAAAATGGCAAAACTCAAGCTACAGAATGCAAATCAGTGGTCGTCGGGTCTAAGGCCAGGGAGAAAAGATTGATTACCTTTCCCTTCATAGCTGGAAATTTGCTTATGTTTATGCTTTTGATGAATAATCTGTCAGATATATTTAAGTATTTCTGTGGACATATGTTTTTACTCCTATTGTTGTATTCTATAAAGATATCTTTCACAGGAGCTACTCATTCACAAATGCAAACTGAAAATTAGCTTATAGAGCTCTTTCTGGCTTCCATAAGTTGTCCACAGCCTCGAAGCATAGGGGCAGGGAAGGGGCGGGGAGGGGGAGCCGGTGATCAGGTAAACAGGCCCATGGACAATTTGTTTGATTTTTTTGACTCCTTTACTTAGAAGAAGCAGGTGCTGAATAGGTATAATGATAATGACTTTCCTCACTTATTTCTTTCCAGATTGTACAAATCACTTCCCAATTTAAAATTCTACACTTTAGATTTAGAGTACTGAAAAAGCAACTATTCATGGTTCAAATTATAGTTCAACATGTGGTACCCAATATGAATGATCATTCATTCGGAGTATGTGATATCAGTCCCATGGATTTTCTTTGTTTTACGATACCTTTCTTTGCTCTTGGTATGAGTATGTATGCTGGAATCACTGGCCATGTTCACCCAACATGTTTATGTCTCTCTAATTTCAGCATGTGGCAAATTGATGAAAATCACAGGTCCAATTACAGTCAAGACATCTGGAACCCGATTTGGCGCTTGGATGACAGACCCTTTAGCATCTGAAAAAAATAACAGAGTATGTTCCTTCCATAAATGCCTTTATTTAGAATTATGTTTTATTTACACTTTATGTCTACAGAGCTATTCATTTCTTTTCAGGAATATTAATCTCAACTTGAAAGGTGTTACACCATTTGCAAATATTTTGTTTGATAATATTAACATATCTACTGATATATGACAAATTTATTTTAGTAAAATGTTCCATCCTATAATTTACCAGTGAGTCTAGTTTTTATTGGTTTTAATGTTGTTTGATGCTTGAAACGGGCTACTTACAGGTGTACAAAATTCTCTGTATACTCCTTCTAAAACTTGCTCCTTAGGGTGAAAAAAAAAGCAACACCAAATAAGTGAAAAAGTTAAGAGCTAACCAATTCACTAAACAAGCTAAAATATCACTGGAGACAAGAAGTAATTTTAAAAGAAATAGTACTGAAATTTTGGGGAGGTATTTTCATAAGTTAGTAATGCCTATATTATATAAGTCAGTATCCTGCAAACTTACCATAGCTCTATGTTCTATTACAGAATTCAGTACACATTAAGATTCTCAAAGGTTAAATCTGCATGACATTAGTAGCCAAATTAGTAAAATGGTTTCATGGAAAGGTAGTTGTACCTCTCAGCTGGTCTAGTGAATGAGTGTTACTAAAAGGTTCTGTGGTATCCATAAAGGATACCACAAGTTGAAAGTGTAAAATTAGACCATACATTTTTCAGAGCAAGGAATAGAATAAATAAATTTACTGAAGGTGATATTTTCCGCAGTTATTACTGATTGCGTCTATCTATCAGGTAACTAAACAAAATGATGTGATTTGCATTGATACATGTTTGGTTCACTCAGTGATATGCACTGAATGGTCAAAAATATAACACTAAAAAAGAAAAGACAAAAAGAGAATCAACTTCAAAGCAGTAAATTCAGTTGTTTCACTTCTATATAGACCATGATTCTACTTTTGCAAAAGCCTGCATTGCTATCACAATGCAACAGGTCAGCTGTAAGTAATGTGGCTTCCAGAGCCCAAGAATGGTGATATTAATAGGTGCTACGTCTCATTGTCTTTATTTTGGAATTCTCAGAAAGGTACAGCATTTTGTCACTCCATGTTTTTTTCCTTCTTCCCAGGTCTGGTACATGGACAGTTATACTAACAACAAAATTGTCCGTGAATACAAATCAATTGCAGACTTCGTCAGTGGGGCTGAGTCAAGGACATACAACCTCCCTTTCAAATGGGCGGGAACTAACCATGTTGTCTACAATGGCTCACTCTATTTTAACAAATATCAGAGTAACATCATCATCAAATACAGCTTTGATATGGGGAGAGTGCTTGCCCAACGAAGCCTGGAGTATGCTGGTTTTCACAATGTTTACCCCTACACCTGGGGTGGATTCTCTGACATCGACCTAATGGCTGATGAAATTGGGCTGTGGGCTGTGTATGCAACTAACCAGAATGCAGGCAACATAGTCATCAGCCAACTTAACCAAGATACCTTGGAGGTGATGAAGAGCTGGAGCACTGGCTATCCCAAGAGAAGTGCAGGGGAATCTTTCATGATCTGTGGGACACTGTATGTTACCAACTCTCACTTAACTGGAGCCAAGGTGTATTATTCCTATTCCACCAAAACCTCAACATATGAGTACACAGACATTCCCTTTCATAATCAATACTTTCACATATCCATGCTTGACTACAATGCAAGAGATAGAGCACTTTATGCCTGGAACAATGGTCACCAGGTCCTGTTCAATGTCACCCTTTTCCACATCATTAAGACTGAGGATGACACATAAGCAAATGTAATTTGTTTTCATTGATCTAAACAGTGTCATTTGTGATAAACTCTATAGAATCCTTTCTGGTTTTTATTTATTATAACTTTCATCATTTCTCCAAAGCATTTTTTATTATAAAGTTGGTGTTTCAAAAAACAGCTGAGCCTGTCTAAATTAACCTGTTGGAAACACATCTTAACTCCTAAATTTACAAGGCCTATCATGTCCTTGTCATGAAAAGCACTAAATAGAGCTTAAGTGGCTAAAGTCATAGTTTTGCGAAAGATTAATGATCTGCCTTATATTAGAGTCATAGACTAATGGTGGCTTAAATGCATGAATGTCTTTTTTTTTTTTAATCTGTCATTTTTTACTGTCTTCTGCTCCACATCAGGAAATATTTTGGTAGGAATTAGAGGGAAAAAAAGCACTTTCCCCTCATTTATTTCTAAAAAAGATTTAAGGATTTTATTAATATAAAAAAATAAAATTAATCATTTTGCTGTTATACAATTCTCTGATGCGGTGCTGTACAGTCATTTTTAAATCTCTTGCTAACATTTTCTTGGCAATATGTATTTCTACCATTGTAACCACCATTGTACAATTGTATCTCTTCACTTCTGGGAAAGTAAGTAATATTTTTTATAAAATACACTGCAGTTTAATCTCAGTAATTACTACGAGTCAATTTTCAAGTGTGATCAAGAAGGAAGTATCTTCTAGGCTTACCCCTTGACACAAGCATTACAAACTAAAAAGAAAATCAAGCCAGATCCCTTACGTATAATCTTTATTTTACCCCAAGTTTACTAGACCACTGACACTGAATGCTAAAACTTAAACTTACTCATATGGATACGTTACTCTGCTCAGTCTACTGAAAAAAAAATAAAACCAAATAGTTGCTTGCAAAGATGTAGCTGGGTCACAAAAAATGAACTTCAATTCACTCTACTTATTTATTACAGAACCAAACAAATTTTGTTCTTCATAATTTAATATATTAGTGTTCTAGCTTTTATTTTACACACAACTTGCAGTAATATAATTCCTTGTGTCAGGACTCTAAAAGTACAGGAAGCACATATAAAAATTCTTAAAAAGAAAATTTCCGTAATGTCATCTAGATTTATATTATAAACTCTGGAGAGTTATTGGCAAGAATTGTGCTAAAGAAAATGATGGGAAAACTTGGGAGTTGTCTGTGTGGTTTAAATGGGCAAATAACCAATTCAGAAAACAAGATGGGAAGGCAACCCCTTGATACCCTGATTCATTGTGTGTGAAGAAGTAATGTAACGAAAAAAATAAAGCTTTAATAATTTTTTATGTTAATAAACCCAAAACCATATAATCAATATATATCAAACATATCATTGGGTTTGGATGTACTTTCCATATATTAAAAATACCTACCTAAGGCAGTTTTACAGAAACTAGAATGGGTCGGTTTTGCAATTTAAAAAGTATATTCTATAATAAATATTATATGACTTAAATTGTTATAAATGTTGACTTTCACACATACATAATATCATAATTTCCTTGTAAAGTAAGAATATAATAACTCAGATAAAGCATTGTGTAAAGTAATACTAATACATCAGAGTAATTCATTTCTAATAGTCACAAGTAAAACATCATTCTCAAATATCTCACTGTCAAAATTGTAGAATTCAATAATCCAATCTTGAAAGTGTTAAAGTTGAACAAAGATTTCTTTGTCTGTCTACAAAAAGTTAGCATGATTTAATGACCACTCTGGGTCCCTCTGCAATGTTGTCTTCCCTTTTAACACATTTGTATAAGTTCTCCTCTGCTTTTGAGGGTTAGAAAATGTAGGGGATTCACTTGGCATTGCACACACACCACAAAAATAATCGGCCAACACTTTGTATATCAAGAGTTTCTATGAAGAAAGAAAGTCAATTTCAGAAATGAACGAATTTTTAGTAGATGGCCTCGAATGGATATCTGGATCTTCATTACTTGTTATTTAGAAAAATGATGTAATGTGGTATCATCACATACATTCAAAACCTGGACGGTCACAGCTTTTTTGTGAGATGTGCAGCCTGTAAAGCACTTCATTGTTTTCTATGTAAGGTTTCATCACCGTATCCAATTTATAGTGTATGTGCTGCTAGAGCAAGCACAGATTTTATTATTGTCACTAGAAGTGGGGGTAACATGAGTTTAAACATGTGATTTGCATTAAGCATTTATAGTTTAAAAGCATTTTTCTTAATAAATTATCAGTTTTGTGCCTGAAATAAATAAGAACTTAGTCTAAAAACTGTTTTTTTAAATCTCAAACAAACAAATAAATTTTATGAGGGAAACAACAGCTATTTCAAAATCATCCACGCAATCCAATCAGTGAAGAAATCCAAACTCACAAAGTCTTAATCCTAAGTGGAACTGTATAACTGGTATTTTGAGAATTAACCAGATCATTAACAAACTTCCATGTCATTCACATAATAGTATGATCATAGTCTGATTGTGTTTGTGCGACATTTGTATTTGTGGCTCTTGAATCACAATATTTATTACTTACACTTACACTTATATCTGTGAGTTTATAAAACGATAATATTTCAGCACATTATCAATACATAGAGATAAGAGAGAAAATAATGGCAGATGTCTACATGCAACATTACAAGTGATTAGATAAGATTTACCATAAACTAATAATCTTTGGTTCCTATTACTATACTCATAAAGTCATTTCAACTTTACAAACCATAGTATTCTCTCTGATAAAATCTTATCTTCAGAAAATTGATTCTTAGCCTTAATAAGAAAATGGTCTTTATATCTGAAAATCACTATAAAACTTACAAGTACAAATTTTTCACAGAGAAGAATTACTTTTAAAACGTAACTATACAAAATTGTACTTCTGTTCAAACTAAAAATAAAACCAGTTGTTTTCTTACTAAGGTAAGTTTTACATATAATAATCCTTTAGTTTTATTCTCCTTAAAGAATAGATTTTCAAAAAAAAAAAAACCCATCTGGCTCTCCTTACCACTCAAGATTACCAAACTTTTTCTGCTAATGCTAAATTTGAATTCAATTGACAGCAAAATTAAAAGGATCCCTTCAAGTTAGAGCAAACATGAAAAATTATACAATTTGCAGAGTTTCTAAAAGCCAGGCCTTCTAGAAATCTGGATACTTTCCAAAACAAAGCCAATAACAGCATCTTGCTGACTTGATGAGGTAGGTATGATTATATCCTCTACTAAAGGTACAACGAGAGTTCCTACGACATCATAAAAGAATGGGCATATAGACAAAGAGTACTCCGCTTTCTCCATCATCATGTCGTAAGTGGACCATGACAAGAGCTACTGTAAAGCGGCCTATTAGCACTATAGGCAGGGAGCATCAATTCAAATGTAGATGCTATAAGATGATACAAAGCCTTAGTCTCTGCTCATAGCTAGAAACAGTTGCTTCTAGAAAGACTCAGTGGCACTAAATATCATTCAGTTCAGTAGGTTGTATCCATACCGAAATCAAGATCATGGAATGGTTTCCTGTTTCTAAAACTAAGTAAGCTCAGTATAAATCTCTTAGCTAATAATTTATTATAATCAGTGACTCTTCAGAAAAGATCTTGGACTTAAAATATGTCTTCTGAATTGTGGAACTTGTACTAGAATAAATACAATGAAAAAATTAGCTTATGGAAGAAAAATCAACTTCACTAAACTCTTTAATTATGTTTCTACGAAATAATGAATTCAATTGATGACAATCTCTTGAATAAAGAATAGAAAACTGTTTGCTCTACTGTTACCCAATCAGAAAGAAAGCTGACTCACATCTTAAAACTATGTTATAATTTATCCCTTTTGGTTGAACTATTCTGTCAGGCTTAGTGGAATTTTAATCCTGTTTGGAGCCTGCCTTGTCTCCAAATGTCAAACTAGTTGGCAGAATACTTATCTGCTTTGCAGCTCGGGTCATCGATTGCTAAGTTTACAAATATTTATTATTGAATATAACTTAAAAATAACATTAAAAAGGACAAAAAGTTGTACCTTGAGTACCTTTCATAACTATAAACATCTTACAATATTACTCCTAGTTAGGGGTGTGAGACAATCTGGTGAATATGGAAGAGTTCTCAGGAATATTTTAGTGCTGCAAGAAGTTTGCTGGTAAACTATACACACATATGTAGTACCAAGTTGCGACCCTACCAAAGCTATATAGTCTGCCCAGAGAGCTTGCACCCATTTTTTTAAAAAAATTAACTAAAATACTGCCGTAATATATCATTCCCTGCTACAATTCAGATTTGGAAATATTGAATAACAGCAGACATTTCTAGAAAATAAATATTATGTGACAAAGGTCTTGAAAATGGCGCAAGAAACGAGCTGACTAGAAGAAGCATTAGCCATTCTAAGTTAAGCATGTTATAGAAATGTATCATACTGCTGACCTTGGTAATACATATCCAGCCAACTCTGTCTATACCATCCTTGACTTCATATGAATTCATGTGTGTTACCAACGGATAGTGTATGGGCTTCCAAAGTAGATAATAATGCATTGTTTATTCATTTACTCAAAACATAATCCCTGAGCAATACTACGTGCCAGATGATTTCTGGATGCTAAGGATATAGCTGTCAACAGATAAATAAGGTTTTCATGTGCTTACATTCTAGTGAGAACAGTCTGCAAGAAAAATATTAATGAAAAATAAATTCTGATTGTATTAATTGTTGTGAAGGAAATAAACAAGCTTTATAAAGAGTGACTGGGTGTTTGCAAGGGGTAGGGTGGGGTAAAAAGTGATGTTTAGAGAGGAAGTCAAAGGAGGTCTCTTTAAGAAGTAGCCTGCAGTGGTAAATTCAGTCAAGGAATGCAATGCCACCGTCTGATACACATAAAAAATTTGACCTCTTACTTTCTGTTCCTAGAAATCCGTGGGTCAAATATTTCTCAATATTTCTGTATTGTAGAAATATTTTTTTTAACTTGGAGTTCAAGAATACGCTTCTAAGGATGGCTGAACTCCCTGAAAATATATGCTAAATTTAGTGCGTATACATGGCTATACGTTCTTTCATGTGGGGGATTTACAGCTTTTATCACATATTAAGGAAAGCCATGACCCAAAAGATCACCACTAAGCCAATGTAATCGAATTTAATCCCAAATTTATTAAACATCTTTATGACCAGCACAGAACATCTGTCTTCTGCTTTGAAATCTTCAAGAATTTTAGCTTGCTTCAGAGAGGAAGGAAATTAACATCCTAGTATTATCAGAAATTTTTTCTTCAGAAGAACTCAAGATTAAATTATTTCCTATAAAAAACTCTAAAGGGATTTTTTTTATATTTGTACCAAGTCCAACTATTTTTCTGTGATCCAACCTTTAGGGTACGTTCTTGCCAGATTCGGTGACCCAAGAGTCTATTACGATGCCTATCCTCCATCTATTTGAGTTTGGAGAAGATTCTCTTATAATTCTAACACAGCCTTTTGGCAGCACCATTAGAATCTGACTGGAATTGAGCAGATGTGGTGTGCTCCATCAAATTTAACTGCAAACTCCTCTTCTGAAATTAGCTACCGCGGCAACACACAAATAGCAAAAAGAAAGGTTATAACACTTGCCTTGGCTTAGAACCTATTCTAGTTGATATTCCTGTAATCTACAGCTGCAGAAAACAAATAAAAGATTTTTTGTTAAAAATTAACTGGTCACTTTTATGCAGATAACGTCATGCTGAGTAGAGAATTGAGGCTGCTTCTGTCAGTGATGTTTCCTTGGATGTTTTTTCCCCAAAGGACTTGAGACGATACTCATTAGCTTCCACTCCAATGTGAAACAAAAACAGAAATAAGTATTTTCATTCTTTCTCCAGTGTCTTCATTAAACTCCATTAGAAACTACTCTTGGATGATGAAGTATGCATTGAAAAAGAAGTTGAACATGTCTTTATATGAGTAAAAAGTTCTTATATTCAAACGACATTCTTGCCCCTCAGGTAAAGTTTGGTCCAGAAAAATGGAAAAGATGCATAATCAATTTATGGTTAGCTTTTCTTGCCATTCTTCCTTAGAAAATGTGCGCTAAACAAACATAACCAAAACAACTCTTTTCATTGTACATTGTTTTCTATTTTTCAAGCCTATTTCATTTCTGTTCTTTCATGTGAGGCCTTTCAACAGTCCTGTGGGATAGGGAGGGCAAATGTTGTCATCCCCATTTGATAAATAAGGAAACAGAACATTTACGTTTCACTGTTTATATTTCTCCATAGATATTCCACAGGCACCTTACACTCAGTACATCCCTAAGCAAAATCCTTATCTTTCCCTCACCTGTCCCCCAATCTACTTTTCCTTCCTATCTCAGTTAGCAAAAATACCATCCCATCCTCAGTCTTGCTTTCTACCACAGCTTTGGCTTTTTAAATGTACCTGCCCCACCCATTACCAGATTTCCATAACAAATAAAATCTTATCATGTCTAACATCTAAATCGACGCCTAGTCCAGATATTTGTTCTCAACAATTATCTTCCAATTTGTTCAGTTCACTCCCTGCTTCCTGCTTTATTCCAGCAACCCTCTAATCTCCATCTCTATGGTCAGAATTGGGTGTCTTATTTGGAAATGCTTTTTTTGTTTACTGACCTCTGGTTTGTCTCCTAAATAATTAGCTTTGCCTTTTGCTTTGGCCAAGGGCCACTTCCATCCGCTATGGGCTTCTGGAACGTTCCCTGACCAAAGAAGCCCCCTGCTTTCCAAGTCAGATTAAATGATGGGATTCAAAATTCACATTCAAGATTGACCTCTTACTCTTTGTCATTAAATTCCTATTCATCATTCAAAGCTCACTTAAGTTATCACCTTATTTCTGAAGCCTATAAAAAAGTCGTTCTTTTGTGTTCTCCAAAGTATTGATCTTGTATTGTCAAAATCATTTGTTTTCTCCAAGTTAGTGTGGACTCCTCAAGAGTAGGGGCAATAAGTTATTTTCCTTATATTTCCTGGCACAGCGTCTGATACAGAATAATCCCACAGTAAACATTAAAAACCAAAGAAATGTAAGACTGAGTGAAAAAGGAAGCACCTTTCCATACCAAAAACACTAAAAACTGTTCCATTCTGAAAACTTCATGAGAAATTAACATTTTCAAGTTTATTTTATTGTAAATAAATTTCTTACTAAGGTTAGATATTAAATATAGGAAATGTCAAGCAGATAAAATTGGGCTTACTTTGCTCTCTTGGGTAAATTGGTCTCTCTATGACAGAGTAAATTTTATTTCAGAATTATTCCACAATAAATTTTATTTGACGAGCTACGATAGCAACTTGCTCTATTTCTTCCTTAAAGCCCATGTTTTAAAAAGGAAAAAGCATTTAAATTTTAACCCATTCAACTTTTGGTTCCCTAGTTTGCATTTTTTCTGCTGTAAGTAAAGACTTCTCTTAGAAATGTACTTTGTCTTTGGCCGAACAGACAAGGTTTTATCAAAGGGGCATGTGCTACCAGACCAGGGAAAAATAAAGAAGCCATTTTTCCCCGTCTCACGAGTTACTCTCCTTCCTTATCCTCTGTTTTCAAGGGGTGCACCAACAGGAAATCTGATGTCCATTAATCCGTCAGTGATTCTAAGTAAATGCAACTGGTAACAGCTTCTAAGTAACATTAGTGAAGATCACTTCTTCATATAGTGCAAGCAACTCTTCCAGAGGCAGAATATTTGTTCTAAAATTAGATCTAACTATATGTCTTTGAACAAGTTTCTTGGTTTCTGAAAATGAAAGCACTGGGCTCTATCAGTACTTTTCAAAAACCACCCTTTAGAGCTTGAGGTTTCTGTCAGGATCCCTCAGAGAATACCAAAAAGGAATAGAGGAACTTAACAG